GACGGCGCCACCCCATTGGCATCCAATTCTATAACTCTACCGAGGTGGTGCTCCACATCACCACCAACATGCCTCCTCTAGACACGGACAATTGTCTTTGCCGACAAGCCTTCCCTCGTGGTACTGACATTGTTGACGGGCATGTGGCCACTGTCGCCTATGTTAGTGTCAAAGACACATTTGCGGCTCCTCTTCAGTAAAGCTTCCAAGTATTGCCGCAATTACACGGCTGTACTGAAAACCTCTAGGCTCCGTCTCGATGAGAGTATTTCCAAATTTCTCCAGTTTCAAAAATTTATAGCAACCAATAGATCGCCAATGAACAATTAGTCTTTAATTGTTGACCGTCTTCGTCAGTTGAGTGGATGGCAGATGGCTGATTTTTTCAAAATGACGCCAACAGAGTTTCTCTAGTTCTGCGAACTGCGCACCTACACAGACTGCCTCACGAGCTGTCGAGACATCACTTCAGGCTCTTCAGCAGCTGGAGTATGCATACTGGTGCAGAAACGAAGTACGCATACCTTTTTTAGCAAGAAATGCCAGTTGAAGAAACCTTCCGCAACTCGCAAGTTGGTGCAGAAACGAAGTACGCATACTGGTTATGATAGCATCTTCAAGTTGATAGCCAACATACTGCCAAGCATCGAAGTCTATGGCCAGCATCCTCGACGGCCACGCACTTTTCGATCAGTGTTGGAGCTCTCGGCATCACACCCACCCCACACCTTCTCTACTTCGCACTCGAAGCACAGAAATATGCACGGCCTCTTCATCCGATCGTTAGGATCACTCAACGGAACATTCTCTCTCGCTCTCCTTTTTTTTTTTTTTTTTTTTTTTTTGAAGTTAACATCGACAAAGATGCTGATTATAGGAGGTGATAAGAACACTCTCCAATAATAGTAGGCTCCCTGTTAGAAATAGGTCTGATCTATTGGTGGGGAGCTGCACCAGCTGGAAACCAGGTCCCGCGACTCTATTACAGAAGTACATTACCTTTATGTTACTTAGCCTTTGATTTGATTGATGAAAAAAGAAAGGTGCGAAGCAATGAGTTTTTTTTCAATTTAAAAAAAATCAAATTCGTGTTTTACAATGTTCAGTAGAACAAATACAAGATAACATGGTGGTGGTTGAAACAGGGCTGAAAACTCGATTCATTTGTTTGAAACATAAGCGGAGCAAATTATGAATTGTGGCTGACGAGCAGCATCGATTGCCCTCAAACGAGGGAGGGGATTAACTGCTCTTCAGAATGCAGGCTGGCGGCTAACCCTTCCATAACAACCTCCCACCAAATTGCCAAACCTCCTACATAACCTACAGAGAGGGAGTCTCCAGACCCCTCCAATCCAAAAAAGTCCCAACTCAAACACCTGTCCCATGCACACGTCAAATCACACAATTGTTTTATTGTGCGTATCGTCAAGGCACCCACCCGTCAACCCCAATCATCCACCCCTACAGCATGCAGGCACCTATTACCATTGAACTACCACCAAATCAACCCCAATACTTCTATCCTACTATCGTGAATGACATCTGCTGGTCGGGGAACACGAATTTCGATCTCGATCTCAATCTCAACCACCCCCCTTGCAAGATGCAGATGCCTACTATCATTATCCATATTGTCACCAGTCTCATTATTTGCAATGTTCGGTGCATAATCCGTCGCCAAAAGGACGGGGAAATTTGTGTATTAAACTAGTCTACAGAGTCACAGACTCCACAGACTCACAGACTCCACAGACTCACAGGGAGGGAAAGAAACCATGGGAGGCAAGTTTAACGAAACGCCAGGCTCATACACCCACCWGCCTCCACAGACTCACAGGGAGGCAAGTTTAACGAAACGCCAGGCTCATACACCCACCAGACTCCACAGACTCACAGGGAGGGCAAGGAACCATGTGACGTGGCAGGGGACACGCGACCCATTGACCAGCATCCTCCTGCCTCTTTGTCACGATCACCCTCTCCCTCAGCCAAGCGTTGCTGCATTTTTTTTTTTTTTTTCGTTTTTACGATTCTTTTGTTTTATTTTACCTTTTTCTTGCTTTTCCGATTTCGGACAGTCGGCACCATCTGCATTCTGGTGCCCGTTTTCAAATTTCCTTTTTTGGACTTTCGGATTTCGGACACTCGGAGCCATCCGGCATTCTGGCACCCACTCTCAGACTTTCGATTTTCAGTTCTGGCCCTGAGGCATTTTCAATTTTGCCCTCAGGACCGTACAGGAGTCCGGTACGTGAGTACGGACTCGAGCACAGTAAGGGGACCAAGTTTTCAGCCTCAGTGTTTGCGTGCAGTATGACTTCGCTTCGACATTGTGTTTGGGAATTCCAGACTGCGACTTTGCGACTTTGCCACTTTGTGTCTGCGTCCATCGAACCGTGCCGAGTCTGTGTCGAGTTGAGTGCGCGTGTGTGTGTGCGTTCTCACTCTCCCTCTCTCTCTCTCTCTCTCAGCCTCGCTGCTCTTCCTCTGCCTCGTCACACTGCCTCCCTTTCATCGCGTGCACATGGGGTGCCAACAAACACAGGGATGCGGGCAGCTGGCGCTTGACCACAATCAACCTGGCCAGTGTTGTAGATGAGAGAGACAGTAAAAAGAGAGAACCAAGAACATTTATATCGACCAGTGAAGGATAACAAAGGAGGAGCTGCATGACCACACAGCAATGTCACAGCTCTTCTGTGCTTCATGACGTTTGCTGTGGACGATTCTAAAGTCAAGCCATTTGTTTCAATCGTTGATCTACTTGGTTGTTATCGTGAAAACTGGCGTGGAGAAGAATCTAAGGTCAAGCAGTTTGTTGTCCTTCGGGACATCCGTCAAAATTGGAACGATAAAGAGATCGTGAAAACTGGCATAGAGAAGAATCTAACGTCAAGCAGTTTGTTGTCCTTCGGGACATCCGTCAAAATTGGAACGATAAAGAGAACATTAGCGTGGTTAAAAAAAAAAAAAAAAAAAAGGTCCAGCAGTTTGCTTCCAATTTGGATCTATTCACCCGGGTGGAAAAGAAGGGTTGTCATGGTGATAATTCACAACACACAAACACGACCATGCTTTTCCTTATTGTTGTTCGTATTACAACCAGGTTCGGACTTTTCCGGTGCTGTGTTTTGTCAAAAAAAACCGTTCTCCTGAAATGTAAAACTCCTTTTTCATTTTCTCCGGTGTTTTTCCCCAAGTACCACAAGTCTAGCACCCCCAAGTTGTGCCAAATAGTCGGTGCCTGTTTGCACTGAGTGTCTGCAATACTATTTGAGTGGGTGCTTTCGTGCTTTGGATGCTCGTGTATCTGGTGGATTTTCCGCCGCTGATGGACATTCGTTGGGTGGCTTCCTGGCTCCTGATGGTGGCGTGAACCGACAGTGTGCTGGGTTTTCCATGTGATCCAACTGGGTGACAGTCCACTTTGTTCCTTGCTCTGTCCACTGGTTCTTGTGTTGCTGGGTCGCTTGCTGTGTTGGTGACCCCCCTCCCACCCACCTCCGCGCCCATCTGCCTTGCTGTTCAGTGCCTTGTTTGCTTGCTGCTTATTGCGCTGCCTTGCTGCTTGCGTTCATACTTGCCTTGCCTTGCCCTCGCTGACTTGCTGCTTGCTGTGCTTCCCTGCCCCCCTAGCCTTGCCTTGTCTTGCATTGCCTTGCCCTGCCTTGTCTTGCCTTGCCTAGTCTTGCTGCTTGCCTTGCCTTGCCCCTCACCCTAGCTGCCTTGCCCCGTGCCCTGGCTGCCTTGCTGCTTGCCGTGCTGCCCTGCCTTGTTGTCTTGCTGCCCCCTGTAGCTTGCCCTACTGCCTCGGCTGCCTTGTTGCCTTGCTGCTGGCCACGCTTGCCCTATTGCTTGCCTTGCCTTTGCTGCCTGATTCCCTTGCTCCTTCCCATGCTGCCCTGCCGCCTAACAGCCCAGTTTCCCTCTTGCTTTAACCAACCCCAAGGAAACTCCGAATACTTGCAACTGAGCATTGCGCAGACAGACTTTGGGTGCTAAGATCCAAAGTCAAGAGGGAAACAGCCCAGAACGTACGCTAAGGTCCTAAAGCAATCACTTAGTGGGAAAGGAAGTGATCGAGCAATTATTGTGCAGCCTTACCTTTCTGCCTTTCTGCTTTGTTGCCTTGTTGCCTCGCTGCCCTGCCACTTGGCTTGCTCCCTTCCTGGCTCATTGCCCTGTTGTTTCCTTTCACCTTGCTGCCCTGCCGTGTGCGTTGCCTTGCCTTGTGCCTTGCTACCGTGTGCTTACCCCTGTGCCCACCCTCTTGCCTGCTTGCCTTGCTGCCTGCCTTGTCCATGTTGCACTGCATGCTTGTGAGGGGTTCCTGTGTTTGCCCACCCACAACAGGGTTTGTGAGGGGTTCCTATGTTTGCCCACCCACAACATGGTTTGTGAGGTGTTCCAGTGTTCGCCCACTCACAACGGGGTTTGAAGCTTGTTTATAACTCCAAGCATTGTGCGGGGTCCCTGCAGACTATCCGGGTTCAGCCCCCTGATGAGATTGTGCAAGTCCGATGAAATAGTCGGTCACCATCACACAGTCCATCAGCGCTTTTTTTTTTTTTTTCCCACTCTTGCATTTTTACCATGGTTATGATCTGTACGTCCGGACAGCAGTGCAGACGGTCTGGGTCTCGTGTCTGATCCAGAGTGTCAGGATCCATCCCCCCACGCCCACCCCCTAAAGAAATCCGACTTTAAAAATAAATAAAAAAAACTGAAAAAAAAAAAGATATGTTGTGCAGCATTGCAATACAAAAATCGTTTGGCCGAGGACCATCTCAAAATTCGTAACCAAATCCAAGGAAAAAAAAATAAAGACGTTTTTTTTTTAATAATAAAAAAGGTTTTTTTAAGTTTTAACTTTTTTTTTGATTTTTTTTCCCAATCCGGATGGTCTGGAGCAGTTCAGACACGGGTCCGGCCCGACGTCTGGACTGGTCCGGTGCCCGGGTCCGGCGTGACCATGATTTTACATGTTCTTTTTTTCAGTTCTGTGCTTGTGTTTGTTTTTCCCTTGTCCTTGTGCATTTTGTGGCCTTTGCATGGTTCATTCCGAAGGGCTTACCTGGCACCGGGTCTTATTCAAATATCGTATACAAGGTGGGCTTTTGACGCAATGTGCCACAATGTGATCTTGGAGGTCTTATCCCCCTTCCCCCCCCCCTACACACACACATAACAAGCACCACCACCACATCTACGCCCACTTCTCCTCCTCCACCATCCCAAAAAAAAAACTCACCCCCGCGTCCCTCAAATCCCTGAAAACCCATCATGCAAAAAATGGGTAGCGGCCCAGATTCGGGCATTACTAGGAGAGTGCATCAGTCCGTGGCAACCGCTTTTTCAAAACACAGAAGACAAAAAGCCTGGGCTGCACTGGGCATGTCGCCCAGGACCACCTGGGCCCAAGTGCCTCTACTGTAGTCGAGGGACACATATAAAAGACCTATAAGTCCATGCTCTACGTCCCTCCTTCGCACCCACCGCTTCTTCGCTCTCACACAAAACACGATGGGTACATACATATGCCACTGATGTTGACATCAGCAAACATCAAGAATATTTCAGCCAAAAGGCTTTGAAAATTTGTTACGGGCATCTCAAGGACTTGGTGTCATAACACACCAAGAGCTCAAGAAAACGAGAGTTAGGGATGCATGTTGGAAAAAACAGCTGAGAAGGTGAAAAAAGAGTCCAAAAAACGGCTGTCGAGCTGGAGATTGTGCAAAAAACAGAATGCCCGAGAAGACAAAAGACGCCCATTGAGACAAGGGGACTGCCATCCCCGCTCAACTCTAACCTCTCTCTCTCTCTCTCTCTCTCTCTCTCTCTCTCTCTCTCGTTCTCTCTCTGTGGAGCATAACATCAGAATATCTACAGATAAGCACAAACTCTGTACTCACTTTGCTGCGAGCTTCATTTGATGAATATTTTTGCGTGTACATATTGTGCCACATACGTCCTCATGAAAACAACTCACCCGTGACACCCGTTGACACCCCCTTGCATGAGCTCGCGCTCATATTATGCCTCCTCATACATAGTGTACGGAAATGCGATGGCTTGATACAGTTCCTGGACTTCACAAAACACTCCGAATAATGTAAGAACAAATTAAGCGTTAGCATAAGAATTTCCAATGCAGACAAATGCAGATTCCACGTATTCCGTACTGGATATAAAGTTTCCTTGCATTCATGCATTGATGGCTTCAATATGAAAACCACATTGCAAACAGAAACCGCATTAGCAGACACAAACACATATGCCCAGACTCCTCTGGTGGACAAATCTGACCCTGTTCTTTTTTTTCTGGGTCCCAACCTACCTTCACTGAATCACCCTATGAGAGAGCCATTCCTCATCGTCATGACAGACCTTGACAGCAAGCACAGCAACTTGAAACCTCATCTTCAGAGAATAAGCGCTGATAGTAATCAAAGCAGCAGAAGTGGAGGTATTGGTGGTGGTGACGACTGTACGACCACTACGACCAGTAGTCGTGGTAGGGGTAGCAGCAGGAGCAGTCAGTAGACATAGCAGCAGTGTAATTTCGAAGGAGGTTGTCTCGTGCCCCCATACCACTGGGAGAAACATCAACATCATCCGAACGGAGCCTGCACGCGACCTGGTGACCTGAACCTACCACCAGCGCAGACGTGTTGAGATCGAACAGATCTTGCCTTCTTGCGAACATAACATCTCCCTTGGTTGTCCTCATGCACGTTGGTCTCATCGGACACAATCAAACATGTCAGTGATGCCCCGCCGCCATCACAACCAGCGCAGACATGTTGAGACCAAACAGATCTAGCGTTCTTACAAATATAGTATCTCCCGCCGGTAGTTTTCATGCACTTTTGTCGCCTCCGAGTATAGTAAACCATACCAGCGATGCCGATATCACACGCGGGCTTGAGCCGCTTGACAACCCCAAACCTCAGCCACTCCAAGCATGTTGACTGTACACCTGGTTCGGTGACAATGACACCCCCGTTTCCACATGCTCATGCTCCTGTTTCCACATGTTAACCCCTCCCTCATCTTGCCTTCCAGGCCATCACGCGGCGGCTGATTACCCTGACAAAGTAGAAACAACTTCAAAACAAGTAACCCCTACTTTCCGCCATTGAACTCAGATGCACATATATGCCTCCAGAAGCAGAGAAGATACAGCTCTGCTACTAGCACAGGCACGGCCACCAATCTATTATTAAGATTTCTTTTCAAGTTCAAAGAATCTGAATCCTTATCTTGAAATTCAAGCTCTCTTTACTTTGCTGACCTGCAGACATGGTGCCACTGTTTTGCCTCATTCCGCCAACTTTCCTGATGTCTCTCTTCCTGACCATTACTGGAGGCAATTTTTCACTCACTAGTTGCTTCAGAACTTCAGATGGCCCATCAGCAAGCAGAAGCTTCAGAATCACTGTGTACATCTGTAGATTCTGTACCATGCATGTGAAAGGGAAGAAAATGGCAGAAACCAAAGAAAGAACTGGCCCAAAAAATAGCCACAGACACCTGAACCTATAAAAAAAGAACGCCAATGCACAGGATCTGGAAACGGTTGGCAGTCGTAAAGTGCTCACAGGCTCTGGAACACCTGCACGAGCCCTCCTGGCGAGTTCCTAAGGATATGTAGTATGTTCTCCTGCAAGGATATGTAGTATGTTCTCCTGCGTTTGATCAAATGACAACATCTACCTTAGTGGTAATTCCCCAACACTTATCTGGACCTCGGCTGCCAGCCTAAACAGTCATTGCAGTGCCAAACTCCAATCCAATTACAGGGGTCTTTAAAAACACAAAAAAGTGCATCAATCAAGAAGAATCCACTCTTCCATCCTCTCCTATATTTGGCATGAACGTACAGATACAAGAGCCACCCAGACTAGGCGCTGGCCCGTCCGATGTCGGTAGCTTGGGTTGGCAAGCGTAGACGGCAGGGAAAGTTGCTTCTGCATCTTGGATCGGCGACAGCAGACGGCAGGCAAGTCGGCCAGAACCCGTCAGGCAAAATGGTCAGACGGCAGGCGGGTTGGTCGCTCGCCTCCATATCCGTTACAGCCGCCTTTCCTGAAATAAACATGCACGGACCCAGAGTTGTCGTTTTTTCTGGGTCATCGTTATGAATCTTATCATACTTGCAGACGAACCAGCGCAGGAAAGGTGGTACAGATTGCGAGAAGGAAGCTCGACAGAAAAACGCTTGTACCCTTTTAGAAAACAAAAAAAATATCAGAAACCTTCTGCAAACTCTTGTCGCAGGCCAGTAATACATACCACAGTGTGAGGCTGAGGATGCGGAAAGAAGAAGAGCCCTTGCTGTCAGATGTCTGTGACGGCGGCTTTTTGAAAAAGCACACAGCTGCTGTCAGGTGGTGATCTGCACGTACACAAATGACGTTCAGGATTTCACTCTTTTTGAAAAAGCACACAGCTGCTGTCCGCTGCAAAAGAAGAGGAAGGATCAAGGACGGAACATACGCCTTTTTGCATCTTCTAAAGACAATATGCATTCACGTAGAATTTCCTTGCGCCATGCCGGTGTTGGCCAGGACTCTTCCAACTCTCTCTCTCTCTCTCTCTCTCTCTCTCTCTCTCTCTCCACTATTTGAGAAGAGGCTGAACTTTCCACTTTTGATTCCCCAATGTTGAAGAACGAGAACACATTTACACTTTCATCTTCCCTCTGTGCTGCGTCCGCTTAACAATACCCGCCCCCCCAACACAACTGCTTGCTCTTTTGTAGACTGTGTAAATGACACTCACTTGAAAGTTGATACCCAGTGGGACATGCCAAGTCTCCATAGAGGAGATGTCGGCTCCACATGTTCTGCAATCCCTGCCAGCAGTTTGCTCCATCACAATGTCTTGTTGCTGCTGTTGTTACTGCTGTCCACGTTCTTGTTCCCATCCTTGTTCCCGTCCATGTTCCTGTCCAAGTTCCTGTCCAAGTTCCTGTCCTTGTTTCCGTCCATGTTCCTGTCCTCATTCCCGTCATAGGAGTCGTTAGCAACTCTGTAAGAGTTGGCGACACTGCCTTTGCTGCAGTGAGTAAGCACACAATAGTTTGAACAGGGATCACCTCACCATGAGAGCCCAAAGTCACGACTGCCTTCGCCGCAATGATTAAACCACACACAATAGTTCGACAGGGTTCCTCTCACCATGAGTAGCCAGCCAAAGTGTGCAGACCTCAAATTAGAGGTATTCCTGTCATCATCTGGAAACAAATGCATTGAGATGCTGGTTCTCACTACTGAGGGATTTGACCAATCGTCTGCAATTGTGCCAAGCACTTTAAATTCTCTCACACTTGCAGAGCACTGAAACAATGCCCTCCCTCATCACCAGCACCAGGCCTGATCGCAAAYCATATGGTCTCTGATCGCCAGATGCCAAAATACCAARCGACAATCCACTTCCAAGCAGCCACTMCAGGCAGGTSACCGCACAGCCAAAGAGTGAGGAAGCACCATGCTGATGTGGAGAGATATGTGTGTAGCGTCGTAATATGGAAGCGCGATGAATGGCCTSTGCGTAYCAACCATTGCTTCGTAGCTATTAAATTGCTGTTTCATGCAAACATTTAACAAACGTCCTTTGAAGCTCAGCAGCTTGCAATGACTACAAAGCCCCGCACACTCTGCTAGCCGCGTCCTCCTGCCCAACCCCCTGCAGCAAGTTCCGGGTCAAACAGGAAGCTCATCGTGGGGAAGACTTGACGGAACGGTACTTGCTCGTCGGGAAAGAAACATTAACAGCCACCCAGGCAATGTGAACTCCTGCTGCCAAAGCAATCGCCACTCCATATAAAAGGCCTACAGAGATAAGCTACCCACGCACACTCTCCAAGCTGAGTCCTCCTGCCCATCCCGCTGCTGCACCATYCACGTCAGCTAGGAAGCTGATAGTGGGGAAGATCACAAACTCTGTGAAGCTATGCGGCAATGACGGACTGGCAATTGCTCATTGAGAAAGAAACATTACCAGCCATCCACGGAATTCATCCATGTAGTAGTAGGCCTACACCCAGAAGCCACTGAGCAACAACCCTCCAGCAAATGCTCATGAACAAAGTGTTGGTTCAACAGACAGAGTCAGTGACCAACGGTGGCACCTGCAAGACCAGCTGGTGGTCCCCACCATGCATTGCGCACTGGCTTTGCTGATCATCAATACGAAGTAAGTGCTCCTCGCAGCTAAATGGTGGTCCCACAGTCCCTCCAGTTAAATAAATCATGCTCAGAT